GGATAAGAGAGAGAGGGAGAGAGGGGAGAGAGGGGAGAGAGAGGGGGGAGAGAGGGAGAGAGAAATAGAAAGAGAGAGGAGAGAGGGGGAGAAAGAGAGGGAGAGAGGAGAGAGAGGGGGAGGGAGTGAGGGAAAGAGAGAGGAGAGAGAGAGGGAGAGGGAGAGAGAGAATATAAGTGTCACGCGTTACATAAGTTGTCTATATTCAAAAATGGACATATAAGTCATTAAAATAACGCCCAGCCATAAGGCTTATGAGACACAATAAACCAAAATATATAAAGTATATTGTTTCACAGTTAAAATAATGTTCATGAATTACATAATTTAATTTAAACACCAGCTTATTTGCCTTGTCAGGTTATATTATGTTGTCACGTTAGCAGGTATTGGTTACACAAAGTCAGTGGTACGGATGATGGACATGGGTACTCATGTTTCATGCGGTACCGAATTGATTGCCAAACATGGTTTTACGCTGCAGTCTTCCACACTTTTGCTGGCCTTAAAACGTCGGCCACAGACGCAATAGTATTGATAAAACCAATCTTTGAAGTCAGTATATATGATACACTGCTTCAAGGTAAAATACAGAAGGTTATGCAATTATTTTATTTTAAAAAGCATTACCGTTATATAAATAGACGCTTTTCATAAAATAATGCTTCATTTGTTTAGTTTAATTACGGGTGACCCTGTCATCTAAGGAGTCGCAATTCTCTGTGCAGAGTTGCATCCCCTGGACACGTCAGAAACTGAGATCTGAGACCTGCATTACTTCGTGCTTTCCTCACACATTTAGCTGACACGCCGTGATATAACTTGAATATTGTTCAAAGCGGCGTTAAGCCCAACTCACTCACTCATTTAATGACACACGAAACATCACTAGATCTGAATTGCGTTATTCCAATTTCAACTTTGCACAAATTCTGTTTATGATTATTTTCTAAGGAAATTCAATAACAAATCATTGGACAATGAAACATCAGGAAGATGACCCGAAGCTACACTGATCAATAGTTGAGTTCCATGTGATCATGTTTATATCGATTCTCGGGGTATTCCAAGTGTAAGAGTTTCACTGCACATTGAACCATAATTTAAGTGTACAACAGCGATCATACATAAGGAGGGTGTTAAAGAATAAACTTCAATATAGGTGAAAGTCAACTCGTGTAGCAAGACTTATAATAAGAACGACAGACCCGTTCACGTTTATGCTTAATTATGTTCGTATCTGGTGTGAAATATCGGTGATATTTTGAGTTGTGGACGGATTGACTTTCTGTGAACGTGTTGACGTGTTGGTTGAGGAGTCACAGAATGTGTGTACGAATACCAATGTCTAGGCCAGGTTGGTGTTGATATATACGGTTAGAATAATATAAGGGCGAGGTTGACTTATTTCAGGGAGGAGGGGGTGGTTATAAGGGTTACTCGACTGTTAGGGTGGCGTCAGTGTTGAGTGTGTGTGTGTGTGTGTGTGTGTGTGTGTGTGTGTGTGTGTGTGTGTGTGTGTACGTGTTTATATGTGTGTGTATATGTATGTGTGTGTATATGTGTGTGTGTGTGTGTATATGTGTGTGTTTGTGTGTGTATGTGTGTGTGTTTATGTGTATATGTATGTGTATGTGTGTATGTATATGTGTGTATGTATGTGGGTGTATGTGTCTATATGTGTGTTTGCGCGCGCGCGTGTGTGTGTGTGTGTGTGTATGTGTGTATGTATGTGGGTGTATGTGTGTATATGTGTGTGTATGTATGTGTGATTGCGTGTGTATATGTATGTGTTTGTATATGTGTGTGTTTGTGTGTGTGTATATGTGTGTGTTTGTGTGTATGTGTGTGTGTTTATGTGTATATGTATGTGTATGTTAATGGGGTATGGAGGTCGGGGATGCGCAGTCTGGTAGCAATACATGAGAATGGGATTGACTTATATAGGTAGTCACACAGATGATCGGACGAGCTAACCATATGTATATGAGTCAGAATACTTAAGAAAGCAAGTGATTACATGGAATTTGATTGGCTAACCAAGAAAACTTATTTTGGAGTTTATGTGTTCATGAACCGAACAAACATTAGGCCACGACCACAGGCGGACTACTATTGCCTGATTGGCTGGTAATTGGTTGGGAGGGGCTTGGACGAAATAATACACAAGTGCGTGTTTGTCAGGATCTGTTTTAAGGAACTCGCTTGGTCAGTAACATGGAGTAGGCTTTTGCTCTTGTAACGAGAACCCACAATGCCCTCTGTATCTAACGAGAACCCACAATGCCCTCTGTATCTAACGAGAACCTGGTATGTTCTCTGTATCTATCGAGAACCTGGTATGCTCTCAGTATTCAGCCAGAACCTGGTATGCTCTCTGTATCCATCGAGAACCTGGTATGTTCTCTGTATTCAGCCAGAACCTGGTATGCTCTCTGAATCTAACAAAGCCTTGTATGCTCTCTGTATCTATCGAGAACCTGGTATGCTCTCTGTATCTATCGAAAATCTACAATGCTCTCTGTATCTAACGAGAACCTGGTATGCTCTCTGTATCTAACAAAGCCTTGTATGCTCTCTGTATCTATCGAGAACCAGGTATGCTCTTTGCATCTAACAAGAACCTGGTATGCTCTTTGTATTCAGCCAGAACCTGGTATGCTCCCTGTATCTATCGAGAACCTACAATGCTCTCTGTATCTATCGAGAACCTGGTATGCTCTCTGTATCTATCGAGGACCTACAATGCTCTCTATATCTAACGAGAACCTACAATGCTCTCTGTATGTATCGAGAACCTACAGTGATTTCTGTATCTAACGAGAACCTGATGTGCTCTCTGTAACTAACGAGAGCCTTGTATGCTCTCTGTATCTATCGAGAACCCGGTATGCTCTCTGTGTCTATCGAGAACCTGGTATGCTCTCTGTATCTATCGAGAACCTGGTATGCTCTCTGTATCTATCGAGAACCTAGAATGCTCTCTGTATCTAACGAGAACCTCGTATGCTCTCTGTATCTATCGAGAACCTACAATGCTCTCTGTATCTAACGAGAAGATACTATGCTCTCTGTATCTAACGAGAACTTACAATGCTTTCTGTATCTAACGAGAAGATACTATGCTCGCTGTATCTAACGAGAACCTACAATGCTTTCTGTATCTAACGAGAATCTACAATGCTCTCTGTATGCATCGAGAACCTACATTGCTTTCTGTATCTAACGAGAACATGGTGTGCTCTCTGTATCTAACGAGATCCTTATATGCTCTCTGTATCTAACGAGAACCTGGTATGATCTCTGTATCTATCGAGAACCTACAATGCTCTCTGTATCTAACGAGAACCTACAATGCTCTCTGTATCTATCGAGAACCTGGTATGCTCTCTGTATCTATCGAGAACCTAAAATGCTCTCTGTATCTTACGAGAACCTACAATGCTTTCTGTATCTAACGATAACCTACAATGCTCTCTGTATGTATCGAGAACCTACAGTGCTTTCTGTATCTAACGAGAACCTGGTGTGCTCTCTGTAACTAACGAGAGCCTTGTATGCCCTCTGTATCTAACGAGAGCCTTGTATGCCCTCTGTATCTATCGAGAACCTGGTATGCTCTCTGTATCTAACGAGATCCTGGTATGATCTCTGTATCTAGCGAGAACCCGATATGCTCTCTGCATCTAACGAGAACCTGCTGTGATCTCTATCTAACGAGAACCTGGTATGCTCTCTGTATCTAACGAGAACCTGGTATGCTCTCTATATCTAACGAGAACCTGGTATGCTCTCTGTATCTAACGAAAACCTGGTATGCCCTCTGTATCTATCGAGAACTTGGCATGCTCTCTGTATCTAACGAGAAGATACTATGCTCTCTGTATCTAACGAGGACCTGGTATGCTCTCTTTATCTAACGAGAACCTGGTATGCTCTCTGTATCCAACGAGATCCTGGTATGAGCTCTGTATCTATCGAGAACTTGGTATGCTGTCTGTATCTAACGAAAACATACTATGTTCTCTGTATCTAACGAGAACATACCAATCTCTCTTTATCAAACGAGAACCTGGTATGATCTCTGCATCTAACGAGAACCTGGTGTTATTTCTGCATCTATCGAGAACCAGGTATGCTCTCTGTATCTAACGAGAACCTGGTATGCTTTCCGTATCTAACAAAAACCTGGTATGCTCTCTGTATCTATCGAGAACCTGATATGATCGCTGTATCTAACGAGAACCTGGTATGCTCTCTGTATCTAAGGAAGACCTGGTATGCTCTCTGTATCTATCGAGAACCTGGTATGATCGCTGTATCTAACGAGAACCTGGTATGCTCTCTGTATCTATCGAGAACCTGATATGATCGCTGTATCTAACGAGAATCTGGTACGCCATCTGTATCTTACGAGAACCTGATATGATCTCTGCATCTAACGAGAACCTGGTATTATTTCTGCATCTATCGAGAACCAGGTAAGGTCTCTGTATCTAACGAGAACCTGGTATGCTTTCCGTATCTAACGAGAACCTGGTATGCTCTCTGTATCTATCGAGAACCTGATATGATCGCTGTATCTAACGAGAACCTGGTATGCTCTCTGTATCTAACGAAGACCTGGTATGCTCTCTGTATCTATCGAGAACCTGGTATGATCGCTGTATCTAACGAGAACCTGGTATGCTCTCTGTATCTAACGAGAACCTGGTATGCTCTCTGCATCTAACGAGAACCTGGTATGCTCTCTGCATCTAACGAGAACCTAGCGAAAGCCTACACTGTTATCCGTTTCTAATGATAACTTGGCATGCTCTCTGTATCCAACGAGATTCTTGTATGCTCTCTGTATCTACGGATTCGCGCATTTAGGCTTTTTCTCCATCCAACGTTTATGGGACTCATGACAGAAGGCATTGTGGGGCGTTGAGGTAGAGATCTAATGAAATATTTGTTAACTAAATTTATCTGGACTTATATGACATGCTTAATTTCAGATATGTACAACGCAGCCCTTTGGAAGCATACGACGCAGAGTTCAGTTTTGAACATGACCATTGAGCTCCACAGTGGGTTAGGGGTGGACGGAGTCGACACCGAGTGCGCACAGTTGATTAACAATTGCTCCACCACTCAGGAACAGAACAACTCCTCCTGGGACGTCAGCCTCGGCCATGAAATAGGCATCTACGCCATCAACATCACGACATCCTATGGTAAGGTGCTACCATTATCACAAACACAGGTCAGACTGACGTGTTTAACCTAGTATATCAGTCGAACTCCGTTGTCGAACCTAGGTTGAGTCGAACTCATAGTTCAGTCCCAGCAAACCAAACTATTTTATTCATCACTATTATAATCAAACTGTGACGACGGGATGTGTCGAATTCCCGGTTGTCTCGAACTAAATTTATAGTCCCAAGAGTTAAAAATAAGTTAAACCTCGAATTCAAAATGATTGAAAAACGCAATCGTTAGAAATAGTATCAAGTACAATGGCCTTAAACGGTACGGTAGTAATGTCGACACGGATGTATCGAACCCGGATAAGTCGAGCTATTTCTTTGGCCCCCAAAAGCTTATGACGACGGGATACATATAAAGTAACTGATATCAGTGTTACAATTACATGGTCCTATGGTAAATCATTGAATCGAAAAAGCTGATATAAGTATTATTGACGTAACACCTGAATGCCACAACAATAAACAAATGCTCAAAACTAATAAAAACATTTTTGTCATCTGGTGCAGTGTACCCTCTGGGTGACTTTGTTGTGGAGCGGGCTGACACATGCATAAATGGTGTCTGTGATTACATCCCCTGCTACCAGACCAATGAAACAGTACCACCAGGGGAAACACTCCAGATACAGTGTGATCCCCTAGGTGCGGGGACTGGTGGATATGTAATATACGCATCAAACATACGCGTGCGATTACCTGGCAGCGTGAAGAGGCGACTTTCTGTCTGTGAGGTTGAGGTGTATACCCATCAAGGTATGTGTCCAGTGTCAATGTGAGGTTGAGGTGTATACCCCTCAAGGTATGTGTCTAGTGTCAGTGTGAGGTGGGGGTGCGTGTCCAGTGTCAGTTTGAGGTTGGGGTGTGTGTCCAGTGTGAGGTGAGGTGGAAGTATGTGTCACTGAGGTTTGTATCCAGTGTCACGCTTTTCACCAACTATCCAACTGCTATTGGCATGTTGTGCTATTCCGAGTATGAGGTATTGATCAAAGACCACTGTTCATCCGGAAACGGTATGATGTAGAAAGAAGTGGAAAGAATGTGATCACCCACCATCTGCGTCTTGGTGGGGAGAATCAGAATACTGATCGTTGTACGTATTTCGATTTTTTGTATGATCTGGAGAGATAGTTATCCACGGAGTGAGTATGGTTTAACGTTGCTTTTAGCAATATTCCAGCAATAAGAAGGCGTTGGCTCCAAGAATAGGTAAAGTAAATGTGTGAGTGAGTCGGGATGAGCGCCGACACTATATCAGTTTTATCGAGGAGAGTCAAATTAGGCAAGGCATCATTAACGGAGGTCGTTCCACGATGATAGGTGGTCTATAGTCAACTTCAATATTCCGAACGACAGCTAAACATTGCTTATTATGTCTTTTATTTTGTAATACAGACATGGCGGTAAATGTTGCCTTGAACAAGACGACACATCAGAGTTCAGTGCAGGTCACGGCCTTGCCAAGGTCAGGCTGGATGGCAGTGGACGGGAAAGATCAGCAGCTTTGCAGTGCAACTCAGAACACTACCGAACTCCCCTGGTGGCAAGTTGATTTAGAATCTGAGAAACAGATTGAATACCTGACTATTAAAGGTAGAATGCCTTAGACTGTTTACTTTTACTCAATCCTTCTCAAATTCTTAAACTTACTCGTAACTGAAAACTAATAAGACCGTTATGGGCGGGAGGGGTGTGTGTGGGTATATGTGTGTGTGTGTGTGTGGGGGGGGGGGGGGGGGGGGGGAGATAAATTGTCGCTGAAAATTATTGAAAACGTAATTATACATTAGGCGGTTGAAATCATAAGATAGTGCCTGCCACAAAAACTACATTGTTGCAAGGTATTTTTCTTACCAAAGATTTAAGCTCATAGTTTTAATTTAATTAGTATCTGCTCTAGCAACTGTAGCTGATTTTCTTCATTATATAAAAATCCAATCTCCAGCAAACAATTCCATTATTTTCAAAGAATAAGAAAGAACCTTTGTGTTATGTACTTCTACATTTAACTTTGTATACGTATCCTTGACCGTTCAGGCTTGTTTTATTCTTAGTGCATCATTACATTGAACAAATAAAAACCCATGTTTTAATCGTGCTCATATGTGAAAATAAAAATAAAAATTAAAAAATTAAAAAATATGTGAACATATCAAATGGACAAGGTATTTATTTCTCACACCAGTCAATTCTTAATTCTTCTTTTTTTAAGATAAGTAAAATTCATGACAAACCTTCTCCCTTGCAGGACATGCACTTGAAAACTTTACAGTGTACGTGGGAGTTGAGTGTGCGCTTGGTCAGGTTTGCTTCAACGTGTGTGCAGAACACACCGACATAGCAGAACACCCCGTCAACATGACGTGCGAGCCCAACACGACTGCACGATATGTCAAAGTAGCTCTCAACAAGCCGGGCATGTTATCTCTGTGTGAAGTCAAAGTTTGGGTACATTATGGTAAGTATTTGTAACATGGATATTAAAACGTTGCTGGTGTGAACGGAGCCCTTGCTATTGAAATTGTACGGATTCATTAATGTCCGTATTCACGATGCATTGATATATGGTAATTTCCTTTTAAATACATGTATATGAGAACATTTACACAGTCAAGTGTGGCGGGTTTCCGGAGTAACGAGGTTCCGCTGTACGTATGATTGCAATATGATTTGGTTAATTAGGAACTTATATGTCTGTTCCAAATACGTTTTAGTGACGGGGTGGGAAATGGCGGGTGTCCTTTCTCGATGACCTGCGTCTGATTTTTAACGAAAATATTACTTGTCGAACCAATTGCCCGTGAAATAGGTGGGGTACAAAATATAGATTCATACCATAAATTGGTAAAGTGGGAAGAAATGGAGTTAACGTCGCGTTATGATTGCACGTATTTAGCGGTGTGTGTGTGTGTGTGTGTGTGTGTGTGTGTGTGTGTGTGTGTGTGTGTGTGTGTGTCCGGATTAATGCTAATATTATAGTGCCGAGATACCATGTCTCAGTTTAACATGAATACCCCACTCAGACACAGGGGTAACAACAAATACCATCTTTTAACGTCTTTTGGTATGACGCGGCCGGGGATCGAACCCCGAACTTCCGTTTACCGGGCAGACGCTCTACCACTAGGCCACGTAGGCGGTCATACCTTACAATGGATCTGGGGCCTGTAAACTCCTCATACCTTATTATGCCATATATTGGCTTGAGGTTTTGGTCTTTGAAATGAGACTGCATGTACCAATATCACACAGGTTTTAAAGTAATGCGAAACCCACTCTGTTTGTCGGCCAATTGGTGTTATGATCAGTAATGGTATACATTACGCAGATGGCGTGTCTCCGTTTCACATGAGGACGAGCGAGTGAGTATGTTCTTACGCCGCTAATGCCTACCGATGTAAAAGTATACACTTTTCAACTTGCCAATGTTTTTCCACCTTTTGAGACAGTGGTGCTGAAACATATTCCATTGTGTACTATAATTCTGATTAAACTATCATTGATTAATGCTTACTGTTGCACTCGATGTTGTAATAATGTGAGGTTCGATATGGTTCGGGGGTATGTAAACATATTAAAAGTGACTAGATTGTCTGGGAAAGGCTTGATTGTCTGTACTGCTGTTCAGCGTAGGCAACAAACAAACACTTATTTAAGCATATGGTGTGACTGGAGGGTTCTGTTGGTAGAGCAGGACATGCTTACGTTTTCCGCCAACCCCTGGTGTCATCACTGAAATTCAGTGAGCCATTCATCTAATTTTCACCATTATTTTGCCTATTACGCCCAATGGAATCTGTTTCGGCAGATAATCGTGACTGGTAATTATCTAGCGTTGACGTTATATATTTGCATGTCAATTTATATACAGTAAACTACGGTTATAACGAACACGCTTATAACGAACTGACGGATATAACGAACTGACATTTTTGGTCCCGACTATATGCTGTTGTTATATTGTATATATGCTTATAACGAACTACGGTTATAACGAACTAAAATTAGTAGTCCCTTTGAGTTCGTTATAACCGTACTTTACTGTATGGTGTTTTAAACGTAGTTTACTGTAGTTTCATTACTTGCAGATCCCACCACTACGACAGCCCAGACAACTGAGGCCACAACATCAGCCATCAATGTAACCAATGCAGAGACAACCACAGACAACACCAACTCCTCAACATCGACAGCACCAAGCAACAACGAAACCAGTTCACCCGAGACAACGACCCAGAGCTACGACGCAACAGATTCAAATGAGACCACGACCCAAACCTACAATGCGACTACTACAATTGAGACCACGACCCAAACCTACAACACAACTACTACAATTGAGACCACGACCCAAACCTACAACACAACTACTACAAATGAGACTACGATCCCAAGCAACAACGCAACCACAACAAATGAAGCGACTCAGAGCTACAACGCAACAGATTCAAATGAGACGATGACCCAAACCTACAACACAACTACTACACATGAGACCACGACCCAAACCTACAACACAACTACTACAAATGAGACTACGACCCCAAGCAACAACGCAACCACTACAAATGAGACTACCACCCACAGCAACAACGAAACCGATTCGGCTGCGACAACGGCAACACCAAGAAACAACGCAACTACTACAACTGACAAATTCGTTTATGACACTTCCACAGCGACTAGCACGACAACAGAAGCAGTCAATGGTCCCAAACCTACAAGTTCCTCGGATAACCAGAATACAACTGGGACGTCAGTACCCAGCTACGATGCGACATCCCCAACAAGTTACAGCCTGCCAGGTGTGTGAAGAAGATGGTGGTGATAATCATGGACATGGGGGAACGCCTTATCGAAACAACAAAGTTGTTCACGACGACGGATTAAAATGGGTCACGACATCGGTTATTAATCTTTTTTGAAAAACACTTGGGGCGATGGGATAGCCTAGTGGTCAAAGCGTTTGCTCGTTACGCCGAAGACCCGGGTTCGAATCCCATTTCTGGTGTCCCCCGCCGTGATATTGCTTGAATATTGCTAAAAGCGGCGTAAAACCACACACACACTCACGATGTCCCTGGATATAGCACGACAGTAAGCATCGTTGTGGGTCGCGGAAAAAATCGTTTGTCGTGCATTTGAACCTTTTACGCATATCGCTCTCTCCGGTGAAGAGCCGGGCTAGGATTTATCCTCAACACATCATGCTTGTCGTAAAAGACGACTAACGAGATCGGGTGGTCAGGTTCGCTGACTTGTTTGATGCAGGTCATCGTATCCCAGTTGCAGGGGCCAATGCTCATGATGTCAATCACTGGATTGTCGAGACTCGATTATTTACAGACCGTCAAACGGCTGGAATATTGACGAGTGTGGCGTTATACAAGCAAAACATTGCTTTTTCTGATGGGGTATTGCTGAAACGGACTCTCGTCTCCATGCACTCTGTGTATAGATTTCCTGTGTCTGTCAATAGTAACCGAAACAATGGTAATCAATAATACCCACTTTGAAGTACAGCAAGCGTGTCCTTTGAAAATCTAATTGTGCAAATATTTTCTCATAACACTTTTGTGTTCCTGTGTTCTAAGAATGCACACGACCTCGCGTTTTAGATTTAATTGTGTAAATGATGCACATGTACCTGTTGTCCTAAATTAGGTTGACGCCCTAGGCGTTTATACCATCCCAGGAACAATAGCATTGATATCTGATGAATCAAACCAACATGTGTTTCATTAGAAGAGTGGAAGGGAATTTTCTGTGATCTCTTTGGGTATGTTTATATCAGTTGGGGCAAGAAACACCAGTTAACGATCTTGGGACGATGGAAAACACACCCGTAACAGGTTTCATCTGATACACTAACAACGCCATCTACGTTGTCATCAGCAGTAATATTACAATTAGAATCTCTGTTACTCTTGTTTGTTATGTGTCACTGTTATGTCCCACATGCTGATTGTCCACGTCAATATGATGCTTCAGTCATCTTCTTCATCAATGTCATAGGCATAAAAGTTCCCCTAAATAATGACCATTGTCCTCTATTTCATCACTATAATGTATCATCATTTTTATATGTTTCAAAATGACATTTACAATAAAGACTGCAACAACCATACAAACTCAGATGACATAATAACTATATTATTCCTTTGATAGATAATACCTCAACCGATGCCAATGACGTTCCATCTACGGCTGACGTTTCTGCAGAGACAACCCATCCAACAATTGCACCAACAAACGCAGTTCATACAACAGACTCCACATCAGCTAATGACCCAACGATCAGCCCAACGCCCACATCCACAGAACCACAAACCGTCTTGATCTCTGAATCAGAGCCAAGTAGCTCCAAGGGCGACCAGACAATCCAACCATCCAGCCAAGGACTTCAGGTCACTTCCGGTTCCGCCCTCGCCTTCTTCTACACAACCATCCAACCTGTTGAAAGCGTGGATGATTTGAGTGAGGGGTTTACCACCCAGATCAGTTCCCTCATCGTGTTGTGTTCCTGCTACTGCAAGTCCCCAAACCAGACCACTGAGGCCATATCCAGGGTGAACCTCAAGAATCTTGCCGTGGACAAGAGAAACGTGTCAAGGTTTAAACGTCGCTTCTACAGCGTGTTGGATGAACGCCCTTCAGCTATTTCAATTGGGTCGACGGGAATCTTTTGTCTAGTTTTTGTGTTTTGTCTTTTTGTTTTGTCGGACGTTGATTACGTAGTCAGAAATAAAAACAAAATCGCAGAAGGCACGATGTAAAAGAGTTGAACCGAAACACCATATTAAGACGTTCAAGAACGAAGTTTATTTAAATGGACATGGTTTCATGTTCTATTAAATCACTAGAGACATGAAAATATATTATATTGTGTTTTAAAATGTAAGTAATTGCATAAGTGGACACGGATTAGACATCTAGCAGGGAGTTAAAAATATTTTCCCCGGCTTTTTCTGGAACAAAGTATTTATTTTACAAAATTCCATATCCTTTTAGAAATTATGTTCGGCTTGCAGAGGTAAAGATCACATGCTCTCACGCAAAACGTTGTTCTTTGTGTGAACACACTTGACAAGATTGATGTCGCTAGTTTGTGTATGTTTCGTGGAATAATGTTTTTATATTTATTGTTTAAAATTTTTCAAAATGTTTATTATGTGTGATTGCGAAACTCCTTATCACGATCTCCGTTGCAAGAAGTGCCTTATTGTAGATATAAAATGTAACGTGCTTTCTGATAGCTCTGCAAAATCCTGTTATTCACTTTCGTTTGGTCATGTGAGCCGTGATATAATTGAAATACTGTTTAAAGCGGGGCACAACACACTCACTCACTCGATGTGCAGTCGTGTTGGTATACAGTCAGTGATATTCATTTATTATTGTATGATATGAATTGATGTGAAGAAATGTAATGAAATGGCAGATTTGTTTATATTTCCAAGTTTCATCTTATGAAAAAACGTTTATATTGTATGTTTACATTTAACAAGATGGGCCACTGGTCGTTGGACAATTCTTAACTTCTAACGACACACGTCTTATGGACCCGGCTGAACGATGTATTCTCATCAAGACACGTCTTAAGGCCCTGTCAAGATATACTGGTGGAAATAAATAAGGGAACACTTACGTTTAGAAACAGAAAAATGATATGCTATCATGGGTTCCCAGCCTTGTCAACCAAATACGCGTTGGAATCAATGCATAAACATATTTACACAATTAATTCTTACATGTGTTGAATTTGTATGCGCGCTATTTCAAATGTACTGACAGTGGAGCTTATTTCCCTATATTTTTTATTTTTCCCTTATACCTTCCCATCAGAATGTTTCCACTGGTATTTTTGATACACTAGAGTTAATTGTTGTTTTTACGCACAAACCGTTATACATTCTTGAATATTATCATGCACATAGAAGTAGGATGGCGTATGCATATTTGTTAAAGGATTTGATTCGAGTCTTACCCGGTTGCAAGTAAATGTTAGTATCAAATTATGTCTATACTGTATCACTTTTATTAGGGACTATATGCACATGTTGCACCCTTTACCGTCCCCATGTTATAGCCGACATCACCTCCCGGTGGAATAAACACACACAGTCTACACTCCATTGTTGAGTTTTCTTTGAATGCAGGCTTTTGAAATACTTGATTTGTTTGTTCATTCGTCCGTATTTTAACGCCGCACTCAGCAATATTCAAATGATAATATGATGTCGGGCTTTAAATAATCGAATCTGGACCAGACAATCCGGTGACTGACATCATGGCATCGATCTAAGCAAGTTGGATCCGATGACATGCATCAACCAAGTCAGCGAGCCTGACCACCCGATCCCGTCACCTCAAACGACAAGCATGGGTTGCTGAAGGCCAGTATTAAACCGGATCCTCGCGAGTTTTTTTTACAAAACAACCCAACTAAAATACAGCACTGTATATGTATATAAAATATATATAACCCAATCTTTATGGGACTTTTTCAACAAAACCTGAATAATATAAAATTATTTTCACAATTGAGACAAATATCACAAGTGTATTTCAACTGAAATTATGTGAAACCATTTCAGTTATACATGAGTTCTGTGTGAATCGTAAACACAGTTATGCCTCTACAATGCACACGCGCCTCATGGACCTTAATGAACGACCTACTCTCACAACACACATCTAATGGACCTTAGTGAACAACGTGTTCTCATAACACACGTCTAATGGACCTTAGTGAACGACGTGTCTTATATGTTGTGTGTGTGTGTGTGTGTGTGTGTGTGTGTGTGTGTGTGTGTGTGAATAATTTTTGGTTAATTCTTCAATACATATCAGAACAAAGAGAAGGGGATAGACAATTTATTTTGACCTGTAACACATTACATTATAAACATCTAGCATGTCCAGTGATCCTTTATGTTTATCGTGACTGCGAGAAGTTATATATAGCAGTGTGTGCATCTCTAACTTAGTAAACTGCGCTGTACGTGCATTACCAGCATGAACCGATATAAAGAAAACCCGTGCACATGGTGTATTTAAAGCACTATTGACCTAGAAATTAATACACCCGTGATGATCCGGGTTAGAATTGGTCTTCAGTAAACCATGCTTGTAACGGGATCGGGACTTTGATGATCATCGTATCATCATGTCATCGTACCCCAGTTGTGTGGATCGATACTCATGATCTCAATCACTGGATTGTCTGGTCGAGACTCGATTATTTACCGACAGCCGTCAAATAGCTGGAATATTGCTGAGAGTGGCGTTAAACAAACAAACAAATATTCTTAATTTATTATCGCGATATTTCGTGGTTTTCTTTCAGGTGGCGAGGACTATAGTGATTTAATAGTCCAACTTCACAAAGCGGTATTATTTTGTTTGTAAAACAAAATAAAGTAAATATATACATATTCTGCTTTTAATGTAGGAGTTACATCAATCGAATCTACGTTATTGACAGGGACGACACGTCTTCGGCTTCCTGACTACAACACAGTACCTATTGAGCAACCAAACAGAAATAAACATTTATATATTGAAACGTTCACATGCCTTCCACAGTTCACAATTCATCAGTCGGCTTAACCATTGATCTCTTGGCATGATGCTGATCCGGTCATCAGTAATAGTGTATGCTTCGGGCCCTTCTTTGTCATGGAATACAATACCATCAAAATGGCTGATGACTACTTGAAGCACATACAACGGTTCCTTTTCATCCACACGATGAACTAACACGTCTATCAGATCAGGCGGAGGTTCCTGAAATGTCTTGTCTCTCGCACTGAGAACTACTATGTCGGTGTGTGTTTTCTCCTGGAGGCTGCCAGTCAGTTGGTCAATGTCAACCAAAGGATTAAAGCCTGTTGCCTTCCGTATCTTCGTCTTGTATTTGTCCGCGGTGTGATGTGACTCTGTCACTCCAATATAGAACGAGCCCCCCTCAGGCAGTTTGGACATTGAACTGATATTGTCCTTCAGCTTAAGGTCATTCCAGATATAATTTGTTATTTCGGTAACAGATACATTTTTTTTCGTGAGCTGATGTTGCATGAATGATTTGAGCTCAATTGCTCGGTTTTCAAACAAAGGAATGGAATTGGTGACCTTATGTTTTACCGGAGTCAAATGTTTTCTCTGTATACAGTGTCCACGGGAGTACTTATCAGCATCACTTCTTAATAAAATAGAAACAATATTGAGAAAGGATGGTCTTTCATTTTCGAAGTCATTACGTATTTTAGTATTGAAATTCAATGTTGATACACACTTTGATTTGGCGATCGTATATAAAAGAAAGTCAGTTTCCGTTTCAAAACCTTCGATGTCGGACAGCCAGAGACGCGAAAAGCAGTCTGTGAATAAGGAACCATCCTCAATGAGTTCCCCAAACCTTTTCCCAATAGCTTCATCAAATATCTCGAGGTCTCTGTCCCAGGTCATTTGACCTTCAACATGCACCAGCAGAACCCCGCCTGAATCATTTCGGAGAGCAGTTGCTCTTTTGGCAAGTTTCTTTAAAAGGTTTAATTTCTCGTTGCTCTTCTTTCCTATCAGCACAGATCTACTAATGTGAAACACAATGACGTTCGGGTCGCTTGATACCTCTCGGTAGGACTCCTTTACACTTTCGCAAGGTGGACATTTACGAGCCATCTGAAAGTGACAATACCATATGTATACTCAGCGTCTTTCAGGTTAATTAAGTATTGACCTTCACTTTGTGTGAGTTCATTGGAGTATGAACCTTCATAGAGTGAGGGCCAAACTGTATGAACGTCGGAGCTTGCGACGACGTTCATACAATGTTTGGCCCTCACTCTATGAAGAAGGTTCATACTCCAATGAACTCACACTAAGTGAAAGTCAATTCTTATAAAAAAATTTATCACAATTTCTTACCTCAAATGATATAGGCCAAAATCTAAACACAATTTTATTTAGTACGTGTGACTTCATGTTTACACTGACAGCCATACAACAACCAGCTATATCGCGGAGTAAAATAGTTCCTAAAAAAAGGGAGGTGACATGGGCGTATGGATACACAACTTGCTCTTCAGAAACATCTTACGCAGCACATGTGTTCAAATCATATCCTCATTAGATGAGAAAGGTCTGTAAAGAACTACCTCATGAAGTCAGTCACAATGACAGTGCGTCGTAATACATTTACATCAAGTACAAGACGTCAAAATGGCCGACAGGATAAACGTGAGGGGAGAGATTTCCGAAGTTCTTAATGAACATGTGGCGGTTACATGTGTTAGTCAATGTCAGCCTAGGCACGAATTGAGTCGATTCTACGATAGTTTAGATGTGCTTTTCTTCGTTTGTTCATTAGGATACGCCACAGCGAGGATATTCGTGAACAATCATGCAGTCACGCTCTCTGACATTTCTCAATGTATACTGAAACGCTGAGACCAAGAATAAAGGTTCTAAATGATCAGAAAGAACGCTTATGTATGTTTTCGTGCAAGGGAATTCCCAGGGGTTTCCCCAGGAATGTGGAAGTAGTCCGTCAGTGTTTACATCATTTCAAGAACACGATCTCGTGAAAAACGTAGGAACGACAAATTGTGTCGTTCATACACTTATGAACGTCAATTTCGCGGTCACGTGACCGACGTCTCGTCCAATGGAAAAGCCGTATATCGTGTAAACTTCAAATTAAAAAATAATTTAAGGATTGACTGTGTATTTTTTTCGGTTCATTGAGGTATGAATCGAAAAACCGATGTGCAAACTTTTGTAAGAATCCGCTACGGATCCGCTCTTACAAAGGTTTGCACATCGGTTTTTCGATTCATACCTCAATGAACCGAAAAATATATACAGCCAATGCTTATAATTAAATTCGACAACGTAAAACATGTTTTATCTACAATAGTTTAACCCAAAACAGTTGCATATATCAAAAGAGACAAAAATGACGACATTGATAAACATTCCAGGTGTAGGAATACATAAGTGGCGTGACATGAATCAGGTGATTGTTTAATTTATGCACATAACTTGACACGCCTACACAGTCAGTAGCCAATCAACGGAGAGTGGGATTAAAACAATGTTCATTGGACCTGTTAATTAAGGCAAGAGGCGAAAAGAACAGTAACGAACCGGAAGAAATAAGTCCGAGAGAAGGCGGCTGTTTCAAATAGCATGGTCATTTACTGCATGATTCAAACATTACTTCCCTGATTACGGTAAAACACAGTTGGAGAAATACTAGTTAGAAATGAAACCCGAACACATGAAAGCTGAACCGAAGCGAGCGGCAAAAAACAGGCGAGCGAGCCTGCACGTTTGCTGTTTCATTCATTCTCGGCCTTCGGTTTCAAAGGGTAGTTTGGACAATGAATATGCATGAAAGTCGCTTAATGTCCTGTGTATGACGATACACGTGTGCAGAAAGGGACTTCCCTCGACTGTAATATTGGGATTCCCCGACATTCCGCAGTAATAAAAGTAGTGCGCCGCGGTGGGCGTGGCTTAATTTGTCACATTCATTGGGAAATGAATGCAATAACACGTGACCAATTCAGCTAATCAGAATGCAGGAATTTCCATGAACACAACGAAAATTTAATTATTACATAATCTCTGCATGTTGTAGGACAGAGGCATGTGGCTGTGCTAATAACATCAACATCCTTTTACATCTTCATCACATTAGAGGCTCAGACGTCTAAGGCGACGCAATTTACTGCGGAGAGTTGCGTCCTGTGGGCACGCCAGGAATCTATGACTGTGGGTTCGAATCCAGGTTCACTCCATTATTTTCTCGGTTTGTCAGTACCATACCCGTACTCGTGGGATTCACCCAAGTGGTAAACGTCTGTGCATCACCTCAGGCTTTCCTCCCACATTAGTCGCTATATGGCTGAACTCACTCCTCCCACATAACGCTTACACGCCGTCATATAACTGGAATACTGTTCAAAGCGGCGTTACACCAAACTCACTCACTCACTCATCACATTAGATCAATAGATTATCGGCTAATAGTTCTGTTATCTTATACGTGACACCTTGGGTCGGTTCGCATGAGAGACATAAAACTTGATATGTAAATAACAATAGATTAAATAATTCAGTAAAGTCATATGTCATAATGGATGGTTTTTACAGACTTAAATATAACTGTGGCACTTGGGCGTCGAAAATGTTGAAGGCAATTTGTTAACGACGTCTTAGGCCAATCTCTCTTGTGCCATCCGCTCTTTCCTTCGAGTCCCGATCTCCCCATAATTGCTCGACAGCTGAAGTGTGATCTTCGGTGAAGGGAGAGGGGCGACAGATGGCAGGTGTCCAAACTTTCATTGATTCTTTCAAGTATCACCTCATAAACAAGCATCGACTAAACTCCCCTTAACCTCTTTGTGTACAAGAAGATATAGATCGTTTGTTCTATGATCGAACAGGTACTGTGGAGAATATGATGTTATCACCAGGCCTAACATCCAGTATTGATAAACCAATAGAAAGTTTTGCAGGAAGTGTTGTTGTAGATTCATAATATAGGAAAGACGCACATTTCATAATTCATTTGGAGAGCTTAAGAAAAAATAGATTAGTAAGAATTTCAATATACACTTGAACATTGCATAGTGTACACACTGTTTTTGAAATTACATCTTTTCATCATACACACTGGGCATGCTTTTCAGATTTCTTTTTCTTAAAATAGAAACTGTTTAAACAGTCTGGTACGATTTCCGTATCACTCGATATCATGATACTTGGATGTTAGAGCAGCTCTACATTGGTGTACCACATTCCAGATACAATTCTGAAAAAAAAGTATCACAACATGAAAAAAACCTTCGTGACAGACTACCAGAATACTATTACTTATTTACACAGTAGGGAAAATAGTAAAAGGTATCTCCTAAGAATTAACTCATTTGAAGACTTTTTATAAATTTATAATATAGAGGACTTGAAATACACGAGACTGTCAGCCTGAAACGCTCATAAAATACCTCCTTTGCGATGCCCTGTCAGAAGACGTGTTTCCAAAAGTGAGGGTACCATGGATTTCTCCACACCCATCATATATAATGTATACGTTATGTGAAATACGTACAGGAATGATACAACAAACATTAGCTTATACACACGCTATGTATAACTTAAGTACCTGTACATATTTATCTGATTCGGCTTGGCCTCAGGGTAACGTGGGTGGCGAGCACAGGTACTATGTTATCTAAGCTATTCAATCATATACTTTCAATAATGAAATCAAAATACCTTAGTTTGTACACAGACTATGTGTAACTGAATACTCGAACATCTATACTGACTCGGCTCTGCCTCAGAGAAAGGTGGATGGCGAATTGAGGTACTATGTGATCCAAGACATTTAACAGCAATTATATACTTTCAAGGCTGAAAATAAAAACAAACATTAGTTAATACACAGGCTATGTATAACTGAAATACCCGATAACTTATATCCGACTCTGGTCTTCCATGAGGAAGGTAGGTGGCGAATTGAGGTACATTGTTATCTAAGAAACTGAACAGCAATTATATACTCTCAAGGCTGAAATTAAAATAAAAACAAACATGAGTTTATACACAGGCTAAGAATAACTGAAATACCTGATCATCTATATCCGACTCAGCTCTGCCACGGAGGAAGGTGGATGACGAGTTGACGTACGATGTTATCCAAGAAATTCATCAACAATGTGTTAAATCTACTGCTGCATTAATTAATCACTATTATTATCAGATTATTCAATTGATTTATTTATCAAGCAACGCCCGTTCCTGTGTTCTCTTTAAAATAGCGTGATTCTATGTGTGTCTTTTTACCTCAATACACTTTCAAGGTCTACAATATACTGAATTCTCCCTTTATGATCTGTTGTGCAACACGCGCAATTACACAATGCAATTTCGCGTACGTAAATAGTCTCAATTGCGAGGTCACTGTTACACGCTATGGTCCCAAAGGCTAGTGTTTATTGACTGTCTCGAATATCACAGGGTATACTCAGCTATCTTTTATTCCTTTTGATAACCTGCGCATTGCATTGTTTAGATGTTTGGTTACTGGGTTAATTTATTGTACTGGGCGGGTGTTTATAATGGAAGTGACGTCACAAAAGGAGGATTTCCCCGAGGTGTGGCGCCTTGCCAGATCGGAAGTACTATTTGTTGGACGACAACTATCACTTTTAAGGGACATTTAACAGTGAGTTCGTTAAAGTGTCAGTCCTGTTAGTTGAGACCTGCCCGTTATCAATCAACATTACGTGAACGAAAACCTACCGTTGTAACAGTATCAACTCTCGATCATCTAACGGAAAAATAAACCTAAAAGGCATTGTCTTTGGGTAACACTCATCAAACGAATGTCTACACGCTGAATATATGTGTAATATTGAAGAGTTTTACCTCATTCTTCTTCTACTACACGTGGAGGGCTTCCGTCACGTGTACATAACTTGTCCACGCCGATACCAGGAAATAGGCTGCTCTTGATGTGAAACTCCTAGTTACCTCCCTTTACTTACTCACCTGCCAGCGCCTAAAACCCACATGTAGTTAAAGCGTCATTTTGAAAAATGAAAAAAATGTGGCCAGATACAGCAGTAACATACTCAATACGAATTAATGATTATGATTAATTCCTAATGATATATTGTTTAATCAACCCAATTAATGAAACTAAAGTAAGACGTATATATGTTCCTTTCACGAGAAATGTTCTTGAGAAAGGGAGCGACAAGGAGTAAGGGAATCCGTTTCAGTGGATGGAAATGTGTGTGTGTGTGTGTGTGTGTGTGTGTGTGTGTGTGTGTGTGTGTGTGTAAGTGTGTGTGACCCTCTTCACGTGTTGATTTTAACCATTGATTCTATTTACTTCATTACATGACAACAAACAATAAAGTTTCAATACATGTGCGTCAACAAACTTCGTAACTGGCCAATTGGATGTTATATACATCTAAAGTAGTATTATCTTTACATATCTTTAGTATATCATTTCAGCAGAATCGCCACCCTTCCGATTTTCATTAAAAAACAACGTTTTGCATCGATAATTTCGATCTTATGATCGAATCACCTGTCGTGTAGTAAGTCATTACCAAATTCCTGTGCACCCTAATACTAAACGCGTCATCGCCACCTCACTCTTTTATACACGTTGAGTTATATATATATTTAGGCTTCCGGTCATGATCATATTACAGGGCTAGTCTCAACCTGTTGTTTCGTTAAGACTGTTACTGCGTTCCTTTAAGCGATCGAGTTTCGATCAGAAAAACAATGTTTGATTGCATGAGAAAACGTAGGCTTTGAACCGGAACACAAACCATTGAAGAGGTCAGTCTTCTATTTCTAAGGACATACCTTGTATACATGCGACTTGAGTCACTGGCGAAGGTACACACACGAGAACTCGTCTAAGATGGTGATTAATATGTCTAATAAGACCATCTTAGACTGGCATGTGGGAAACAGCATTTTACTTATTGACAGTGTCGGATGGAATGTCCAAATAAATTTGAACGACACTTGGTCGCCATATCACGAATATCCATTCCTTGTTACCGAAGGTGACAAGTCTAGGCTTCCTTCACACTACATATAATATAATACACCAGTGTACGAAGTACGTTACATCGATTCTGAAAATGTTTAGTTGTATACGAATATTTTAGTTGCTTAACTGTGAATATGGCTGTGTTGTCTCGGTTGTCGAGTTACCTCCCATTTTGGTCCTAGTATGTGTTGTGGGAAGATCAATACGGAGCATCGGCAACTGTGCAAGGTGATAGCTTTGTTCGGGGTTTAACACCACACTCAGCAATATCCAAGCAATTTGACGGCAGCATGTAAATAACCGAGTCTGGACCAGACAATCCGATGCGAACAACATACACACCGTAGGGGTAGGGTGGCATGCAATCAAACAGTCACCGAGCCTGATCACCCGATGCATTCGGTCGCTTCTTACGCCTAGCATAGGTTGGTGGAGACCTTTTCAGGTAATTCTAACCCGAAATCCCTACAGGTTGTGTGTCTCTGAATGTTGTTTTTATATGTTCAGCTGTTGAGTATGCGATTGGTTGCATACGCTCTACTTGCCGTGACGTGCGCGGCCCGATAAAATGCGGAGAGGTTAAAAGTTTGTAAAAGCATTCTTTCAAGCTTTTTCCACGTGGATTGCTTAATTCAAGGGAGATAACCCGTGCTAACATATATTGAGTGGCTAGAGATGGATACGACGTCTCGGTGGTAGCAAAGTGTATTTTTTCAATCTTCAGTTTATATTTATCTTTACTATACTCCTCATTATCGTACCTATATCATGATGATATGTCTATCACCTGCTCATTCAGAATATGAAGGCTACGTATGATTACAGATGCTAAAGATAGGGAGGGGTCTTGATAAACTTGACTCCAAAGTGAGATAGTAAATCTTCTTTGAGTTCTTCAAGTAACGCAAAATATTCGTTCTTGGTAAATAATAAGGACTTTTTATTTCACCAACTGTTCATTAAATGAGGCTTCCTTTGAAGTAGCCACTGTAAAACAGCAATGTTATAGTACAGTAAACTACGGTTATAACGAACTCAAAGGGACCACTTATTTTTGTTCGTGATAAGCATATATACAGAATATATACAACAAATGACCGGTACTAAAACATAACTTCCTTATATCAGTCAGTTCGTTATAAGCGTGTTCGTTATATCCGTAGTTTACTGTATAACTGTCCACTTTAGGTCACTGTCAACTATTGATTTGATATGTAAATATTGTACTCGGGTTATTTACTTTGACGAGAAGTCTGTTTCAGGTCACTGCTACCTATTATTTGACTAATTAATTATTTGGATTCTAATTTGTTTTACTTTTTGTTTATTAAAAAACAAAGGTAATAGGTTTTTTTTGACATTCGTTAACATCAGATAGATTCCAATATAGTGTGTCAACTGCATAATGATCCAAATAAAATTGAGGATATTAAATTAAGGAGTCTAAATCATGTCATTCAATCTGTCTGAAATCCAGACTCTCTCTCTGTCTCTCTCTGTCTCTCTCTCCTGATCAGATAGGCCACGCCCACTACGTACTACTGTTTCCTTGCCTGATACTAGAGTGGGCGGGGTTTGTGTTTGCCTTATTGCGCTGAATGATGTTGTGATGTTGTATTGTCTACATTTTTCTTTTTGTCACATAATGGATAGTGTTAGCGATGCGAAAAACCGTTCCGATAAATTTGGTATTACGATCCGATAAATATGCAAATGAGGTCATCTAGCAGGAACTATTTTAGGCTCCATAATCGATGCAAAGCCTACTTCATCATTGAAGTATTGACTGACGTTCTTAATAAGTGTGGAGAGGGGTTTCCCGATGTATTGGTATATCTGTAGACTATTTCAAACATTTTATTCATAAGCTGATTACAAACATCGATTACTTGAAAAAAATGACATTAAACGATAAGGGCTTCATACGACTCTTAATCAATAATTGTTTGATCAGGGTTAAAACATTGAATGCCTTAATAAAACTTTACAAAAACGTTTTATGGTAGACATGTTGAAAGCATTTCTAAATTTCACGCCCCAGTGAATAAAATTATGTCCGATAAATTCCCTACTTTGACCATATGTTCCTATGTTATTTCAGGAGAACAAATGATTTGCCTGTGCATGTGTTTGTTACGGGTGACATCGTTGGGAAATAGTTGCATCGATGGGCAGGCCTGAAACCTGTGGTCGTAGGTTCGAATCCCGGTTCGCCACGATTCTGTTTCTAGATTTGTCAGCACCATACTCGTGCTCAAGAGTTTTACCAAAGGGGTACATGTCCGACAACTGCATCACTTCGGGCTTTCCTCCCACATTAAGAGGACACGCCGTGATGTAACAGGAAAACTGTTCAAAGCGGAGTTAAACCCAACTTACTCACTCACTCATCATGATTAAATTCTAAAATAAACAAACGCTGGAGACATGTCAACACATATTTTGCTTTATGTTTTATTCAAAGCACACACAGATAGAATCATTCGCCTGAACATGTTTTTCAAACCAATAAAGTTTAAAACTTAAAGTATCAACTGGATCTTTTGAAAACAGTTACTATCATGGCTGTAATTACAAAGCTATCTCATGTACATATCTAGGGAATGGTCGAATAAGTATTTTTTTTAAGTCTGGCAAACGAACATATGCAAGGAATCTTCCCTTAAATTAACACCATACTTAGCTCACACATTGTCTACAATACATGGTTCCAGGAACAAAGACCAAGAGATGGATGAAGCTATTCTTTTGCTGAGCGTTTGTTTACAAATACAAACGGTTGATATAATATCATTTGAAACGCAGTTTCGTATTGGGTGATGAAATCACTATTCTCTGCTTATTATTAAAGGTGTAGGGACATTCAGTAAATATATCAGTACCAATATATCATCAATTAACTGCGCACCACATAAACACTATACACACTTAATCTGTCAATGTAGGAATACTATAACTCATACGAGTCTGATTACATTTATTGTAATCGACTCTGCAACATGTCGGGGAAAATACACTTTCTTCAGGACTATAGTCTTAAGGATCAGGATACTTCCTGGTTTACTAGATCTACATAATTTATGAAATGAGCTAAATATTGATAAACCATTATTGAAGTCAGCAGATGTATTCATATGAATGGAAATTACAACATTCCTACGTCTATGATATATTACAAAACCAAAATTCGAGGTTAAAATATATTAAATGAATAAAGATTTGAATTAAAACCTAAAACTCGCAAACGATAGAAAGTAAAGGCTTGCTGTCTGTCATAAAAAAAAACATATTTGAAAACTTTCCGTATCTTTTCAATTATTTTAGGGGCATTTCTTGTAAGCCAAACTTGTTCCTTCTCACACCTTGTGCTTTACATGTGATGTGCCTAGTGTTGAATGCACACACTCATCCTTCAAGATAGATAGAGAGACTACACCATAAGAGAACCAATGACGCATTGATTTTAGATAAAACAATGATTATCCTTGCAAATAATTTAATCAATTAAACTTGAAAGAAAATTTGAACAGATAGAGTTCAACAGTTTTCTTTCGGACTGTCAGACACATCAACTGTTTCGGACTTCATAATTTGTGGGCCAATATACTTATTTACTGGTTGTTAGATCTACTATGGTATATGTTCTGACTTTCATCAAGGGTCGTGTTTATTACATCATTTCTGTTATGTTGTTGGATTTGTAATTATAGTGGTAATAATAATATAAATAATGTCTTATATTCCGTGATATTCAGTGTTTCAAACTGCATACCATTATGAGTAACGATGTAAAATTACCCTTACTGACAAAATTTAAAAATAAATAAATTACGTCAATGTCAGATCATCATCAGTCTCGATTATCGAAAGTAATGCGGCAAAAAGAGAAAAGGATAAAGATAAAATACGGACTCGGGCCAGTAGACAGACTAAACAAGTTTTTCGTCGCTATATGGCTGAAATAATGCCGATGCACCGTTAAATTTTAACCCACTCACTAAACAAGTTTAAATATAATAATACAAAAACACTCGTTTGCAAATGTTATTGTGACGATTACTCTTGACACATCACAACTGTCATTTCATGTGAAACAGTTTCCAACATTCACACAAGACACCTGCAGCATCGACACCTACAGTGCTAAAGGGCACCAGAAAATGAACCTTTGTTCTTGTTTCAGCAGCTAAGGGTGTGGCAATGGACCATTGAGCATATGTATGTATTTCTAAAAAAAACCATACATACAAAAATGCATGTAAATGAAAATAATTTTCCTCCGGTTCGTGATGTACCTGTACTTCACAAAATATATTGTGTCTATTGTGTCATTCCTCTGCATAAACAAACCTCTTCAACATTCGAAATGATTTAAACAGTTTGAATATTTTCATATCTGATGACTGAATCAATGGTAGTGTCTTCTATTCATATCGTAGATATCGTAAATGATGTGATCAGCGGTTTGTTTCTGTAAAATACCATACTATAAATGTCATACAGGAATACCAGTGTTTTTGTCTTGAACGGTTTAGGATACTAAATGATCCGAAGTGTTATTTTCTGCTGTTAACAACGTTGTATTTGTTTCAAAGTTTGAAACTATAACAAGCCAACACATTCCCTAAGATAAGCAGCAAATGTCTCAACACTACCAAGCTTACTGCTTACGAAACAACGTATAGTTCAACGACATATGAAAGAATGCCCAGATATGCATTCATTTTAGTTTGACCTCTACCAGTATGCTCGTTGACTTGGAAGCTATAAACGCAAATGATGAAAATATTTTCTAATACAAGCGGTAAGGCAAACGCGATCAATAAAGCTCGTCCAGCAGCATGCTTGGACGTGTCCATAATCTGATATGACTTAATACTGGTCCATTCTCAACAATTGGTTCCAAACATAGGTGCTATCGAGGCCATATGGAATCGGTAATTTACTTATAGAGGTTATAAGTTGAATTTCCGTTATCGTGTACAATTAAACATACAATATACAAGGTTCCCTTGATCAAAGCAAAGCTGTTGAATTGTACAGTTGAAGATAAAATACAATGTCACACATTTGGAAAACAAAAAATATGTTATTTCTTACACCCACAAGAAGAAAAAAACCCTAAGAAAAGGGTATTATTTAGGGAATAAACCCGGAATGTGAACGTAACGAGCTGACAGAAATATGCTTGAAGAAATGTCATAACAATCAACTTGTAAACAGAGGCTGAAGGCTAACACTGTTTTCACAATAAGAAACGTCAATACAAGAGTCTTGATCATCCTCGACAGATATCCTTTTTCAATTCCATACTTTACTGACAGGTTCATTATCATGTAAATCAACATGAAACCAGCGTACAAATTCAAATTATATATCTAAAAGCACAAATATATATTTGCATGGTCCAATATTATCTGTAGAAGGCCAGACAGAATCACTGAATCACATTCAACACTTGACAGTGATAAGGTATTCAGGATACGCTTGTGTATCACTGAAGATAACAAAGGTCTTGGGGTCCGCTAGATCGTTGACAACACTGTCATACAAGAGCGTAGTTGACGTGGTGGGATCACGAGCGGGTGGGACTCTGAATGATGCCTGGCCCGTTGTGAAGGTCCCTGTCAGGACCCTGCTCTGGAATAGGTAACGTTTCCCGCTTCTATCTACAGGGGCGTACCTGTCCTGGGCAGCAGCTGGGGCCGCAGTGGTGAAATAGACCCCCTCCCCATACTCGCTCTCTATGAACACAGGAGAAAACACACATTCGTATGAAACAATCACATATTTCATCAGTTTGTTTGCTTGTGGTTTAACGCCGCACTCCAGCAAATATTCCAGCCATATGACGGCGGCTTGTAAATAAACGAGTCTGGACCAGACAATCCAGTGATTAATATCATGGGCATCGATCTGAGCAATTGGGAAACGATGACCAAGTCAGCGCGCATTACTACCCGATCCCGTTAGTCGCCTCTTACGACAATCATGGGTTGATGAAGGCCAATTCTAAATAGATCATCGCGGAACACAGTGTAGTGTATTAACTGCCGACATCTTGAATTCAGCTTCTATAGTCTGTGTTGTCCTATCACAAAACGACTTTGACAAATAAGAACATTATCATTTGTTGAAGCAGTATCTTATATGGCGCTACTTACAAAAAATAACCCGGTGGTGTTTCATTTAATCTTTAATTGCCACAATAAATTAAGGTGGCGTGCGTCCTTGTTTGAAGGAGAACATTACACCACAATGTGACAGAACTTACGGCTTTTGTCGGTATAACTTCTGTTGAATCCATAGTTGCAGATATTCATTGTATATTCTTGCTTGGTTCCATGCCACAGGGCCCTCTCTACAACAACAGTAGGGCTCTGATTCTCAAGCTGGTTCTTCTTAGCCTGGAACTGCTGGTACAGGAAGTTATTCTGGACTCGGTCAATCTAGAACAGATGCCAACATGAACATGACAATAGCTGGGCATGGACTACTTGCAATGGTTTCAGTCTGTGAATTCAGGAAAGCTTGGTTATGTGTCTTGAAAGATATTTTTATGTATCTATTTGATCCAAAGTTCATTTTCTCCAACGTACTCTGATGACCTCCAGTGTTGCCCCTGCAAACGAGTCTGTGATGGTCTTCAAGACGCCCTGGTGCTCGGTCGTCCCTGCTGTCACCTGCTTGACGGCAAGCTCTTCACCTAGTTGTTCCCACGTGTCAGGGACTTTGGAAGAGGAAACTGTGGTTGTTAAAATAAAATAAAACGGTATTATAAATGTACACCTCAACGATAGCTACATTCGAATCACCAGTTCCCTTATTATTGTCGGTAGTATAGAAGCAACAGATGGAAGGAATGAAAACTCACTTAAATATCCTATAACAGAAATTAGAAGGGTGAAACTAAAATTGAATCCAACATATCTCGATGAGAATCACCGGCTAAAGTATTTTCCTTGGAGAATTTTGTCATTTGTCAACCAATAGCCATTTTCCCTCGAGTATGGTGTATTTTGTCCACCAACAGCCATTTTCCTTCGAGAGTGGTGTCATTTGTCCACCAACAGCCATTTTCCTTCGAGAGTGGTGTCACTTTTTTACCAATAGCCCTTTTCCTTCGAAAGTGGTGTATTTTGTCCCCCAATAGCCATTTTCCTTCGATAGTGGTGTCATTTTTTTACCAAAAGCTTTTTTCCTTCGATAGTGGTGTCATTTGTCAACAATAGCCATTTTCCTTCGATAGTGGTGCATTTTATTTACAAATAGCCATTTTCCTTCGAGAGTGGTGTTACCATGTTCTCTCTTTGCAAATGACAGACGAAAAGGTGCATTTCAGACATTGATTTTTAATGATTGACAATGTCAAAATGAAATGCAATGTTATTTTTGCACGATGAACACAATAGCAACACTTCCTGACGTATCCGTATAGCTGTTAAGCATGGCTAGACAGATGATATAGTAGATACATGCTTCTACCAACTCAACCAATGCAAACAGTTGTCACGTACCGCTGCACCGTTGCGCCGGTAGCTTTAGGCCACGCATCCAAAAAGTTTTTCAGTTGGAATGCGATTGCCGAGCGTGAGATTACAGCACTTTCACTTGGACAGTTAAATACCTTCTCCGAGTGTTTTTTCTCTCAGGACTTGACAAAATATATCTAGGAAAATTGATATTCACAACAAAATTGCAATAAATTTTTCACGTTACTTGCACTTAAACATATCCTATAATTATATCCTATATATGTAAATGACAATACACATAGCACAGACAAAACTACTATAATTATGAGTTTACAATAATGTATATCATAGGAAGTTAATTTTCAATATTGTGACTGTAGACAGTTTTAGATAATTATTCTTAAACGTAACACTCACCTTCCACAAGGTCTCTCCGAATAATCTTAACTTTGTCGTCGTCATTGTCAACAGGATATTCAACCCAGTCATTGAAATCGAACACAAAATCATCATGTACAAGTCTCGTCGTCTCCCCTTTTTTGAAGGCTTTCTCCAACATTGCGTTCATCAAAGTGTCATATTTCGTCATGACTTCATTTGCTGTCTCTTCATCTTTGTCCATAAAATACCACTGGACCACCTTCTCAAGCGCCTCAGCATACTCTTTTTCCTGGATTTCCCTTTCAACGTCTCTGATCATCTTGTGGATGAAGTTACATGCATCGGAAACGTTGTTTAAAAGGCCGGTTACAACGATGCGACCCACACGCTTATTCACATTCACTTGGACTCCATGTTGATTTTGGAGTTTGTTAACTCTCTCGATCTAAAAGGAAACGAAATGTTGATAAAGCACCAGAACCTTTTCCATATCCAATCGAAATCTCTGCATAAAGCAGAGTCGATTGTTCGATTCCGACTATATCATGAGCATGTCTTTATGAATCACTTTTAAATAGTCATGAAACCAGGTGCTCACGAAAAGTTGAACGCATCCTGCTCCACCGGTGGCACCCGTCAATAACACATGCAAAGGAAAATCAATTGTTTGCCTGAAAAAAACAACACGGGAACATGTCTCCAAGAAAACATTTTGAAAGCTTTATTGAGGCCTTGAATGTTGTAACCTTGATCAAACAACTTCTGAGCAAGAGTCGTATGACGATATTTGAACTCTTTGTAGAAAGAGCATACTGTGAATTGTAAACACCAAAGGCTGGAGCTGCGGGAAATGTGCACAATATTTGACATAAATCGTAATAAATCGTAGATCGTAATACGTATTAACCGTTAGTTTTGTTTTTAAAACGCTTATGAATGTATCTGCAAACATACTTAACCAACCCAGTCAAACCCTTCAACAGCTCAAAATATTCACAACCTGGGGACATTATCAACACTGACTGATTTGTAGACTAACATCTAGTCTCTGAAATGAACATATCGTACATAAAAAAACAGTTGTTCAGTTATCTTAATAAAAATATAATAAAAAGGGGCCCAGTGACTCTCTTCATTTATATATTTGTATCAGGGTCTGTAAGACAGACTAACTGATTTGACGCAAGCCCCCAAACCGGGATGAGTCAACCACAGCCGCAGTTCACTTGAACTTGTGTTTATGTTGAAATGAAGGAAGGGGGCATGGGTGGCCCAGTCGTCTAGGGCGCCGCAATTCGCTGTGCGTCCCTACGGCTCGCCAGGAACCTATGGTTTGGGGTTCGAATATCCGTTCGCTCCAGTTACGTTTCTAGGTTTGTCAGCACCATGCCCAATGCTCGTGGGTTTCACCAAAGTGGTGAACGTCTAAGACCTGCATAACTTGAGCCTTCATCCCACAATTAGCTGACACGCCGTGATATAACAGGCATACTGTTCAAACCTTAAGTCTTAAATCCAACTCACTTTCTCACACAAATGAAGGAATATCCAAATATACCTGCTCAGGATTCCATTTCTTCAGAGAATCATCTTTGATAGTTGTAGACTGTGCCTTTCTAACCAACTCGCTGTGTATCAAGTCAACAGCTCTTGAAACGTTTGCTGGTTCATCTGTATAGAACCAGAGGGACACCTCTGATGGTTTGGAGATCGTCTGTGTGCTGAAATCCGGTTCATGTCGTTCGCCGTGTGGTGGAACATCTGTTTTCTTGCCAACCAACCAATCTCTTATTCCGCCAAAGAATCCTGATGACTTATGGCCAGGTGCAGGTGCTTCGGTTGGATTATCCCGTCTTTCCTTGCCAGCCTTCAGTCCCTCTCTGTACCGTTCCAACTCAAGCTCCCTCTCGGCATCGATTTCTAGAGAAAACAATCAACAATAATATTGAAACACAGAAGCGTTCACTTCATTGTCTTTTCAATAGCCTGACAAACCAGACAATCAAGTGAAGGACCAGTAAGCATAATAACATGATACCGCATTAATGATTTTGGTGAAACTGAAAACGATATGTTAATTTTGACTGTTGTGCACAAGTGCAGAGATTCTGCTGCTTAACAATAAAGAAAAGCGTTTAAGAAAGATTTCGTTTGGCAACACAGCTGTGGAAAGTTTTAACAAATATTTCAATTGTAGTTGTAGTTTAAGTCATGTATACTAGTCATTGACAATCATTTTTATTGCAGCCAGCATGTGGGCGTAGAAAACCATTCGTACCATTCTGTGAGCCAGCAACTTTGCCACCGATAGATTCCACATACTTTTTGTTCTCTGCCTCGAAAACCTAAAATCAATCAACCAATCTTTTTTATTCTCAATACTGAAAAACAACAGGCCCATAGTATATGTATGACAAAATATGGGAGGAGAGGCTGTACACAAAAATTACTTTCCAATTGACACGGTATAATAAATATACGTTGATAAGTTACGGACAATATTTGTATAAACTGATATATTCCTTTTCGACGCAGATTAGCTGAATTGGTCACGCATTATTGCATTTATTTCCAAATGGATGTAAATAAAGCAACGCCCTCCGAAGCGGACTACTTTTATTACTATGGAACGTCGGGCAATCCCAATATTGCATTCGAGGGAATTCCCTTCTGCTCACCATCGTCATGCACAGGACATATCGTGACATTCATGTATATTCAATACCCAAACTTAACTTTGAGACCGAAGGCCGAGAAGGAATGAAACAACAAACGTGCAGGCTCGCTCGTTTTTTGTTCGCTCGCCTGGGTTCCACAAATTTCATGCCTTCGGGTTTCATTTCTAACCCGCACTTTTTCCACTGTGTCTTCCCGTTCTCAGGGAACTAATGTTTGAATTCCTATGCCCGCCTCATACCTGGCAACTCTCTTGATCTCCAGGGTACACAATGAAGAGTACATCTCTCAGGGGGGTATCGGTATTGTCCTTCCCAAACTGGATCACAGTTTCGTACATCACCTTGGCAACCAGAGTCCTGGCATAGCCAAGATGCCCTGTGCCAAGAGCAGGTATAGCCACCGACCCCCAGCCTCCGTTGTGGGCCTTCAGCAGCAGGGCGTTCAATGTGTCAATCAGCGTCTGTTAATAAGACATTCACATTTACATGACGAGGCAACACGCAACCTGGATGGACATAGACAGTTATTTTGGTATACCTACTTGTTTCCCCGTGTCCTCACTCCAGTTAGGCAAAACGCAGTGATAGATCTGTTCCACACATTGCATGTCACCACCCTTTGTAACAGCTATGTCACCCAACTGTATTCCATCTGGGTACTTCTCTTTGCACTCAGCTTGAATGGCTGGGCCTGTTTGGATATCAAAAAGCAATGCATGTATTTTCCATTAATATAAATAACACGAAGACATTATTTTCAGCTATTTATCTATTGTTTTTAGTTTGAATATAATGAATAAGTTTTTCATCATTTCATTTCATTTTTGGACTTATTTCGTTTGTCATTACCTGCATGTTTCACAAGTGACTTCGACACCATGCCACGGTCAAGATCTAGGTTGGTGTTAGATGAGCTAACAATTACGTCAGCCTGGAAATGAATAAATATGACAATTATGCTGACACAATGTTTTTATAACAGTTTCTCATGAGATGATAAGTTACATTAATAGTAATAGATGTTCTGGTTTCAAAAATGAAGTAAAATATAATTTATTCACTTTGGAAATTTTCATGTGTTCGGCAACATAATAGGTGTGTGGGTTTGGGACTGACCATTTAATATTCTTGGGTTTGGGGTACGGGGAGCACTGGGATTTTGTATTGTGACCAGATATTTTTAGATATCTACTAAAACCAGATTTTTTAAAATTTTAAAACTGAAAAAAGACTAATTCTTTTCACATAAACGTTTTACAACAATGTATTTTGTGGCTGACAATTTCTCATTTTCCAACAGCCCGAATCATAAGTATTTTTTTGAAGTGAAAATTGTTTTTTTTCGATAAAATCCTCAAATCCTAGACAAAAACTAAATTGGCAGATTTCAGTATATGTATAATGCGACTTCTTTCCTTAAAAATGACAGAAATGATTATATGATGACCCCTAAGGTTTTGACTCATGAATCAGTGTGTGAACATTCATAAAATTTCATCTTGACTTTGTTGAATGAAATATCTAAATAGACATAAATATCGTATATTCTGGGCAATTGGAAAAACACAAGCATACCTCCTCGACTCCCATATCTGCCTTCACCAATAGGATTCGTGGTTTGGGCACACTGGCAACAGAGGCTTCCGCAGCTGGAGCAGCTTGTGTCTCCTCGTTTTCAGCTGTAACCACTGACGACAGATTCAGACTGGACCTACTGGCTGTAAAGAGACGCATTTATGTACAGCACCACGCCGTTTGGATAGTATCACATTTGTCAGCTTGATGTGGGAAGAAGCAATATAAGTTTTACTTGGGTTTTCTTTTCACGAATTTGAAAATCTAACCAGGTGCTACAATGTATGCAGTTCACCGTTGTCAATGGCGTTCATGCCTTAGCATTTAATCATATCAGATGAATACCTTTATCATTGCAATTGGCTAGTGGAAACCTCACACTGAATTTAGTAATACAAATACAACAGAATATTGGAATTCATACCACTAAGACCTTGTCTTCGTTGTCTATGCCTATGAGGTGTGGACATTCCCGACTGATCTTCTTCCTTTTGTTTTGCAAAAACATGTTCCTCCCCAAATGTAGAAACCGACTGTTTCCATGCCGACTGACAATCCTTCGAGTTTTCCAAACACACATAAACATCTGTGACAAAGCTTCTGATGTTGAAGTAATCTTTGATTCCTTCGAAGATGTACTTTATCCTTTCATCGAATGACATTGACCGGTGTATGACTTCGGTGTTGAAAGCAGGGAGAGCCACAGAGGTCAAGCGGTATTTATCAGCTTCCTCCAGACCTGCTGTGATGACTACCTTGATTATCTCCTCTATACTGCAAATACTGTTTGCATCAGGACCAACAGCATGGACAAGCCTCTTACACTGAAGTCCCCCAGCTGATGTTATAACAACGTCTCCTTCCATGTAGGATCTACCTCCGACCTCTGCCATTACACTTGCGCCAGCTGTAAAAGATATTACATATTAAGCTACCATTGCCACAATAACATATTTCTTCATAATAAAATTGTAGTATATCAAACATGTGTATAATTATCATTTACCGATAAGATGCGAAAATAACAAATACATGCTATCTGTAGGTATGAATTAGCTAATTAAACCCTGTGAAGATACGAGTTAGAATTAGTATTCAGCTACTCATGCTTGTCGAAGGAGGTTGTTAATGGGATCAGTTGGTCAAGCTTTTTGACGCATTTCACTTTTCTCAATTGCGTAGATCGCTGGATTGTCTTGTTCAAACTCGATTATTTACAGACCGACGTCATATAGCTAGAATATTGAAGAGTGCAGCGTTAAACAACACACAAACAAAAAAAACCAGTAAATTAAACAGGCATACCTTTATCAATGACAGCCTCAGCTTGTGTTGAATCTGGGCTTAGGTCATTCTTTAGGACAACCACCACTGCCTCAACATCTGACACCAATGGAACCATACTGCCGACCACAACATGGATCTTCCTGGTGGTGTCTGGTGCACAGTGGAAAGCACGTTCGTATTTTAGCACACTGTCGTCAGCAGATGCCGAACGAGTATCTGTCGTCACATCAGAATTATCTCCGCTCCTTGAGATGACACATTTTGCATTTTTCTCCACCTGTTCTATGACATCTCCTGATTTAAGGAAGTCATATATCCCTGGTCTTTTTAGGACTTGCTTTTGAAAAGAAATCGTTTTAGTGATGCAATTGACAAACATCTTAGCTTGACTGAGACCCTTCTGGGATGACTTAAGTGTTACAGTGAACGGATTTTTCGTGCACACAAATTTGACACTGAATTGTTTCAGGTCCTGACTGACGCTGTCCAAGTTGGTTCTACAGTGCATGACGAGAAACTTCAGAATAGGTTGACTGTACATCATTTTCTCTGCATATATAGCATTTCTTTGAAGGAAGTCCGTTACTGCCGAACGGCAGTCGTCGTAATCTTCACTGACAGATGTTATGCTGATACGTTTCCTGTCAGCCAGGGGAGAGATGATTAATCTGTCGTGTCGATCCCGTTTTAGTTTTTCAATTTCTTCAAGAAAATCTGATGATTTTAGAAGAGGTGTTTGCTCACTGTCAAGCTTTACAGTTCCTTCCTGAACTGAAGACTTCAAGAAACCCTCCAGTGCTTCCAATCCTGTATTGCTGGTGTAGTATATGATGATGCCCTCTCGGCCAGGCTCCCAGGAACCTTCAGCAGCCATGTTCTGTTGCTCCAGTCTCTGATGAAGATATTCTTGTACAGTGGGACGCTTGAGTAGCTCTGTCATGTTTGCTGAAAAGCTTGTTATTGTTTGTTGTGTTATTTCATTCGATTCACCATACATCTGCATGATAGCATTCTGTACTTCTTCAGATGGCCCGACAAATACCAGCTCTCCTGTTTGTATTTCAATGGATACTGTTACATATCCTTGGGTAAACCTGTTCAGAAATCCTTTTGCTTTCAAAATACGAAGCTTTGGTCCATCTACTTTTTTTCTCTGGGTCACTTGGTTTTTACGCCTTTCATTTTCAGTCTTGGCAGTATCAATTACTGCGTTCATCTTTCTGATGGTATCAGTTACCTGTTCCTGTGCCCCAACTGCAACAAGTCGCCATTCAGACTCATCTGTAAAAACTTTCGCATCTACTCCTTTGTCAAATTCATTTACTTTAGACTCCACAACGGGCCAGATTTCATTATTGACATCAATCATCTCCACCACAAGTGTGTCCAGCTGTTCCTCCATTGCCTTTAGAACGTCTCTTGACCATGTTCTACTGATGGTTCTAGTTTCTTCAGCAGTGTAGGTTGGACTGAGTGTGATTTCCTTCTTTCCAGCATCTATTTTAACGTCACTGTGCAATTTGGACAGCTCAACTTTGATTTCATCCATTTTTGTGCCAGTTGCCACGAGATATTTAATCTTATAGTCACCGACATCCAGCAGATGTTCCGGATCTGGAATTTTTGTACAAGGTGGTTCAGTGGTGCCACCTGCCTCCCCTAGACATTCAAAATGCAGACTCACCTCCACAGGGGTTTGACTCAAAGTATGAGGACGTTCTGACACAGATTCAGCATCTGAAAATAAGATTGTAACTCAGAAAAAGAATACAGAAAAAGATATGATATGCATGTACTGAAAGCACAATTCGTATAGGCTGACAAATCGTAATCTCAACGTATACATACCTGAACTTTTCTTGAATCTGACAACAGCCAACTCTTCTGATAGATTCAAAACCACCTCCTCCACCTCCCCACCTCCACTTCTTTTGCTATTTTCAAAGTACATGGAGACGGCATCCTCGGTTGTATTCTCTGGAATGTTTCTAATTGTGATGCTGGTAGTCTGTGGAATTTCTCTGATCTTCAGACTTGCCTTCATAAACTCTCTCTTCATGACCAATTCACTCAACTTTGTGAAATCTGAAAGAAAATGATAACTTTTTATCATTGAGCAATATATATAATTCATTTGGAACTTACAGTTTGAGGAATACATTGTGCATCAATTATCTCATGTTCAAACTTTCTTCATGTGCATGTGTTATTATGAAATACCTTTGAACTGTTCTGTAAAGAACACTAGAATATCTCCTTCTTCTTCCCCATAAAGGAATTTATCTACAGTATGCTGAGTCCTGGCCTCCAGAAAGTCTCTTATGTTGTCTTCAGACGCCCCGTCAGGGACTCCAGAGAGGAGGACCTTGTCCCGATACATCACTGCAGGAACTGACATCTTCACCTGCAGCTCCCGGTCCCCAAGCTTGTGCTGACGAGCGGCAACCTTCTCAGCCACTAAAACATGAAATAATATAGGTATATTATGTATGTGATATAGTCGGAATTGCACAATCGACTCTGCTTCATGCAGAGATTTCTATTTGATACAGAAAGGGTTTTGTCGCTTTATTGGCACATTAAGTTATGTCCATTTAGGCAGCGTAATGCAGCCTTATTATTAAACCAGTATGTCCTCCAAACTGATACACTTCTTTGACGTGTCAATGACCAATAGGTTCCTGTGTTTTATAAGGTGAGCACTTATCTTGCCTTTGCATGTGTTTGCGATGGGTGGTACTGGTTGGACAGGTTTCACTCAACTTTTTGCGAACATTTGGTATCATCACTATTTGATATTGTTTCAGTATTAAACACATGCTCTATATGTAGTTATTATTGTACAATCGACATCCATGAGAATTCCTATGATTGTAGAAATGGCTTATTTGCACCATAATGTTTTTTGTACCTTCTTTGAAATATAACTAGAAAAAATGCAATTATGAAAACATTTCAATGTTACCTTGATGATCTTCAAATGTCATCACGATGACGCCCTTTTTATCATCACGAGTGAACGTTTCAACGGGTCCTCCACCAGATTTACGACTATTTTCAAAATACAGAGTGATTGCGTCGTCTGAAGAACTCTTACAATATCCACGGATCTCAACAGTAGCTGAAGGCTCTGTGTCTTCTTCGTCCGAGCTTTGTGTGGGTGTCGAATCTCCAAGCTCCTCTTCCCCGGCTTTGACAACTTTCAACTGCCCACCTTGGATGCCATGGGAGGGACGCTTAAGTACCCGCTCAAAAACTGTTAACATCAATTATTTCATATACTGAAGGCCCATTGATATAAGCAGGAACGAAAAGATTAAATAGTTGTGATGTTTTTTATGGCCTTTGCACGTGTTTGTGAGCGGTGCCACCGGTGGGTCAAGATACGCTAACCTTTTTGCGAACACCTGGTATCATCACTATTTCATAGTGATTCACAAACACGTGTCCATGGTATTGTTTGAATCGAACAATCGACTCCGATTTTGACATTGATTCCTTATAACTATGGAAAGGATTTTGTTGCTTATAATTATACTGACTTATCCCTCTGACAAGAAACTGAGCAAGTCACTCCTTTGACACCATTTGATAATGATGCAGAAAGAAGAGATTCAGCATTATCAAAAGGGCAGATTGGAGCGCCTTAACGTTATGTGGGGCGGTCGATAGCTCAGTGTTTAAAGTGCTAGTCTATCGCTCTAAGGCCTTGGGTTCAATTCCCAACAGTGGTACACTCTATGAAGCCTATTGTTGATGTCCCAATCGTTATGGCCCCAATAGTAAGCAAACGTTTTTTACCCGGAGAACATCCTACCTTTCTCGGTTTTGAAGGTGATGTACATGATGCCCTTTTCTTTGTTGACTTCCCTTTGCTCTATTTCACCACCGCCAGACTTCTTCTTAGATTCAAAGTACATCTCGATGGTGTCCATATCTAGCTTGGAAAAACCAGTGACAGCAATGGTTCTTGGCTTGACTGTCTTCCTCTGACGCGGCTTGTCAAGCATTACTGTGACGTCACTACCGGCAACGCTGTGTGATCTTGCTACGACTCTCTGGGCAACTGAAACAGGCATTGACATAACAAGATTTTTTTATTCCAAATAAATCTTCTTTTTAAAATGTGTGGTTTGCCATTGGCCCTACAGCAATTATTTTGAAGTCGTGCCTTATTCACGAAATATACAAATATCATTACACAAAAGGTAAACTCCTCATTTGTTGATTCGATGTAATAAACAGAGATTAAGATCCATATAACAACTAGCCACCTGTTGTCTTACGTCTCACTCATGGCATCCTGTAAGTGGACCAGAGGAAACAGTTATGATCGTATGAGTACTCACAAGATTTTGAAAGGGAATCACAGTGAGTGAAGTGTATCACAATGTCATTACCTCCATCTTCCTTGAAGGTGATGTGTGCAATGCCCTTCTTTAACGTCATCCTTTCTATCTCCCCTCCTCCTGATCGCTTGGTACTCTCAAAGTACAACTCCAGCGTATCCTCAATGACAGAGGAACCAAACCCCGTCACCACGATGGTATATATTCTGGATATGTCGTAGAGACACGCCTTCAGTGTGTGTCCACTGTGATCATGTGTCTCCCTACTGGCCACCCGTGCTGCGGCTGAACAATATACATTCAACATGAGTATAATATCGACTGACAAGTATTAATTGAGGTATTTGTGTATGAACACAAAAGTCACAACACAATATATTGAAGAACATATGAGGCTAAAATCTGCCTGAAAGACTAAGATGGTTTCGGGGAGTTTTATACGTAATATGAGCAAGTCCTTATCCCAAGATGAATGTCTTCGGATATTTACATGTAGGTACAGACAAACATGTGGTAAAATATTTATCTTGGTTCACAACCTTGCTAACAGCTTCTCTGGAAGTTTGAAAAATACGGATGTCTTCACTCATTTTACTCATGTACTTGTACAAAAGTCCAAAATCTGTTCCCTATTTTCAATAAATATGTCTTTTGTGTGTACAAACAGCAATAAATGACACATGATTAATGATCAAGCACAGAAGGTGTACAGTCAACTGTCGAGTACACCATGTACTAAACGAAAGGTATGTAGATTCACTGGTATGAGTGAGTGAGTGAGTGAGTTAGGTTCAACGCCGCTTTCAACAGTATTCCAGTGATCCCAAAGGTGTTCAATCGGTGACATGTCGGGAAATCTGGCTGTCCAGGGCAATGTAATGACACCTTGCTGCCTCAGACCGTCCACAGCATCAAGAGTGGGTGAGTTGGGTTTAACGCCGCTTTTAACAGTATTCAAGTCATATCACGGCGTGTCAGCTTAATGTGGGAGGAAAGCCCTAAGTGATGCAGGTCTCAGACGTTTACCACTTTGGTGAAACCCACGAGCACGGGTATGGTTCTGACAAACCTAGAAACAATCGGGGCGAACCGGGATTCGAACCCACAATCATAGGTTTCTGGCGTGCCCAAGGGACGCAACTCTGCACAGCGAATCGCGGCGCCTTAGACGACTGGGCCTCCGTGCCCCCAGATTCACTGGTTTGCAGATTTATTTGCATGCAGCAATTCTGGATATTTATTCAGCTGTCGACTTGTCAATGGTATAATGATTAGAATTTCATGAAAGTGAACGTGTGTTTGTCCGTCCGAATCTACAGTAATGAGATAAATCCTGGTTAATGGATGAAGAAAATATTATCAATGTTTATTGGCAAGTCATATTTATCATAATACATACAAAAAAGGAATGAGGATTTCTGGATTGTATTAGCGGCTTGTGTATTACCTACAGGTAATTTTTTTCATAAGCTCATTCTATGGATATGTCATTGCTTTGTATGACATACTTATACCACTCACACACACGGTGCTTCACAGTACCTTCACAGTCTTGGAATGTTAGAAGTGCTGTGCCTTCAGCCAGGTTAAGTTCAATATCTTCCACGTCACCCCCACCTGACCGTTTCTTGCTCTCAAAATACAATTCCAGGGTCTCCTTTGACATACTCTTGTGAATTCCCTCGACCAAAACAGTCTTGGGAGGATCTAAAAATAATAATAATAATAATAATAATAATAATAATAATAATACAACCAGTAAAGTTCAAGTCGTCGTAGGTATGGCGATATAATGTCACTCATAATATGTGACCCTCCATGGAATAAGTAACCTTATGGGTGAAAAATCACATTTTGACTTCTTATATTATCTTAAAACTGACGTATTTTCGGAAATGAAAATACAATTCACAAGCCACAATTCATATGTAATCAAACATTTGGACGAACTTTCTAACAAATCCCCTTTTCAGTCTTGAAATAATAACTGTTGTAATAATTTAGATATAGCAGCTGATTAAAAGAAAGTAGAAAGGTATTCTCAAATGTATTGAAAAAATGTTTTTAGTACATTACTTACTAACAAGAGAAATATATTTTAGATATTAATGTACAGTCCTCATACATGGCGATTTTTACGGAAGTAAGCTGACGTCAAACGTCTTTCTATATGACGTCACAGCACAAATGTATCCTAGCACCCACAAGGTCCCTTTTCTCCTGGCTTGACAAATATGTAGTCGAGTCACTATTGAACAGTATATCAAGAAGCAGAGTATTGAAAACCTTCACAAGCTTAGTATTATGGGATCGCAATCTTCAATATGAAAAAAAACGATTAGGAATCACATGCAGATAGATGGAAAATACTAAATCTGTGTGTGCAATTTTGACTTAACACAGGTGCTCTGAGAAGAATTTCGTAAAATGAATGTTATACACATGAAAAAACTTCTTATGACATTTAGCTGCAGCGGAGAATTATTGTCATCTCTTTCAAATAAACCACGTTGAAAGACAATTGTAGACTGTGGCGTCATTTTTATTGTAACGTCATTTAAAACCAAACATTAATAATGTTCTCATTACGTCATCATTGACGAAATGATTATTATAAAAGCGCTGCTTGTGGGTTTGGATCAATCTCGATGATAGAGAATGGTACCTTTTGTATCTCCAGGATCTTCTCTAGGACCTCCTCCAGGATCCGATGTCTCACGCCTTGGGCTGTCTCCACCGTGTTGATCTGAAGCGTACCCACTTGAGGATCTTTTTGCATACGGTCCCCGTGCTTGTCCTTGTTGGGACCCCATATGCGGGTGCTGCGGGGATGGTGTATTGTAATAACCAGTCTGAGTGTGCTGACCCTGTGCCATCGGGCTTCCCTGCCCATAAGCTTCCGAACGACCAGGAAAGGAACCCTGAGCTCCATATTGAAACTGTTGAGGAAAGTATCCATGGCCGTGTTGATATGTAGGCATGTTTGAAGGATGTTGGGGGTAGTTTCCACCTCTGGAATTTGATCCTGGGGTTGGCGGATATCCACCGTACCTTTGGTAGAATTGCGACTGAGCCTGGGGATCACCTGTGTGTTGGCTTGGGGGTGCCGGTATTCCCTGAGCATACATTGGAGGAATCTGAGCATGACTTCCATGCATGGGTTGCTGCTGGTAGCCACCAGGTGGCGATGTTGGAGCAGGAGTGTTGGTCCTCCTGTTGGTCCGACTGTCATCCGAAGACTCGGCCATTGTGACGCCGCAACCTGTTGCAGGTATTAATCAACAGTTTACGTTATCATTGGGTAAACCATACATGTTTATATGTCAAAGGCATATGTTATGAAAACTTGCTTCAGTTAAATGATAAAAGTACATATGAACCAGATATACCGTAGAATATATGGAGATTATTATACGATTATGTGTGGCATTCTGATTTTACGAAAAGAGTATCAGAATACTTGTATTTCCCGAGCGAGAGCGAGGGTAATACATGAATTCTTACGCAAGTTTCTCAAAATTAGTATGACACACATGTGAGTGTAACAATTCTTTATTACCTATAATTTCTCAATCCTTTTGAGTTCCCCTTACAAAACCTGCAGTGATCACCATCGCTGTTCCAGAAAACCACAATTTGTCGAATGACGTTAAATATCTTCAGCTTTGACGTCGTTTCTGGTATGACGTCATTCCGACCTTACATCACAATAAGATTCGAATGACGTAAACACTGTCGCCCGGATGACGGAAACAATACACTGGGCCGCGAGAAGTGATATTTGCATTATAGGTGCACAGACGACTTTTATTAACTCGGTTAAATCTATCCCTATGGGAAATAACACGAATTATTACTTACCCGTGAAAAGATCACCCGTTTAATAAACATACAGCTGTATTACACATTGTGTAATACTTACTTACTTACTTACTTTGGAGATTTAACGTGCGCTTTCCGACTGATGCGTATTTCGCACACGGAATTGTGTAATACCAAAACGCGTGCTTATGTACTCTCGGAACATGTTTCACGAACAAATATTGAAAGCTCTCAACATACCTTGGCTTATTCAACGACATTGTGTGTGGAGATAATAGATCACTGAGAGGAGCTTATGCACACTCGATGACCCCAGCAACCTTGTTGCTAGGCTGACGTCACATGGCATTGTTTCGCCGAAGGAACTTGCAACAAAATTCCACAAATTACGTCATCGGGTATTGTGACGTGATTGTAAACTTTGAGGTGCAAGGCCCCGTTCCACAAGGCGATCCTACTGTAGCGCAACGACAGTCGTTGGTCTAAGTTAAAATATGTGAGTTGCGATAACCTTAACGCTACGATAATTTTGTGGAACGGACGCCTGAATTCTAAAGGTGGACCGTTGTATGGTATTAAATTCATACGTTTCAACTTTTGACGTGTTTGAAGTATTACTCAACTCAATCCAACTCAATTGGATTATGCCGTGGATCGTGTAGGTGTCAGCCTATTCACACTCGAGAGGATAATTCTAAAAACGTTATAAATGGCAAGTAATGAATAAAATACTAAACTCGCTCCCGTGTAAAACCAATTTTATGAAACTCGTGAATAGTTGTGGTATCTGACTCGCTTTCGCTCGTCAGATACCGCAACTATTCACTCGTTTCATAAAATTGGTATTACACGGAAGCGAGTTTAGTATTCTGTATTTATTACTTGCTCGTGGAGAGATGACCCGTTTAATAAACATACAGCTGTATTACACGTTGTGTAATGCCAAAACGCGTGCTGTTGTACTGTCGGAACAAGTTTCCCGAACAAATATTGAAAGCTCTCAACATCCCTTAGCTTATTCAACGACATTGCGTGTGGAGATGATAGATCACCGAGAGGAGCATATGCACACTCAATGACCCCAGCAACCCCGTTGCTAGGCTGACGTCACATGGCATTGTTTCGCCGATGGATATTGCTTCACAATTCCATAAATTACGTCTTCGGGTATTGTGACGTATTGTAAACTTTGTGGTGCAGGGCCCCGTTCCACAAGGTGATTGTACTGTAGCGCAACGACAGTCGTAAGTCTTTGTTAAAGTTGCGATAACCTTAACGCTACGATAACTTTGTGGAACGAACGCCTGAATTCTAAAGGTGGACCGTTGTACGGTATTAAATTAATACGTTTCAACTTTTGACGTGTTTTAAGTAATATTCTGTTGGAATATTCAATTGGATTATGCCGTGGATCGTGTAGGTGTCAGCCTATTCACACACGACAGTATACTTCTTAAAACGTTATAAAAATGGCAAGTAATCATTAAAATACTAAACTCGCTCCCGTGTAAAACCAATTTTATAAAACTCGTGAATAGGTGTGGTATTTGACTCATTTTCTCTCGTCAGACATCAGAACTATTCACTCGTTTCATAAAATTGGTATTACACGGGAGCTCGTTTTGTATTCTATATTTACAACGTTCCTTGTATTTAACAGGGTCACAACACCACATTCCCCCGACTTATATTACCTCCGACGTCGGTACACAATAGAGATACGCCCACTTGTCGTGAAGGCAAACTCTGTGCGGGACTAAAGTGGCCCGATATCTCACAGGCTGTCCATGCATAACGTCGGGTGTTTGAGCAGCTACTTCTCAATGCATGACACAGACACATAGGCATGTGAGTGAGTGACTGAGTTTTGTTTAACGAGTTTGGTTTAAAACCGCGGCCGTGAGAGGAAAGCCCGAAGTGATGCAGGTCTCAGACGTTTACCACTTCGGTGAAACCCACGAGCACTGGTATGATGCTGACAAATCTAGAAACATAATCGGGGCGAACCCACAATCATAGGTTTCTGCCCAAGGGACGCAACTCGCCTTAGACGACTGGGCCCCCTAGAGGCATGTGAGACACGGCTGACTTCAGTACACATACACCTGGTGACATATCAATAAGGCATAATGTCATAATGTTGTGTGGAGATTATACCATCTCATATCACTGGCGTATTGATTAGATAAAATAGTCACATGGCCGAGTATAGATTGTAGATTGTAAAGTAACGGGCAAAAGAAAGTATACAGAGTTTTCTTTTAATGTAATTAAAAGCTAAAAAACTGTTGTTAATTTTGATAATGTCTATTTTTTTTCCCTCATTCCTGCATTAGAGTGTAAAATGTAATCTGTGGCTGGGTAACTTTGTGTGAAAATAAATTAGTTCAGAAAAAACTGGTTAAGAAATGATTTTGCAACCACATGACCCTTACAATATTTCAAATGGTACTTTATTTATTTTCAAAGATGAAATGTCTAAGATACATACCCATGATCAGTTGTGTAGTATGAGAATTCTTTAAAACATTTATTTTTAAACGTTTTAAATGTAATTATATTTTTAAACATATTCCCACTAAGCACCAAGACAATTCATTGAAAAAAAATGTAATTGCTAACCTAATATATTTTCAAGTGAAAATCAAACTTGATAAACTCAATTGAAAGGAATAGTTCCATTGCCCCTCAGTACACTACTGCCTAGAAGTTCATTCCCCTTACACGCATGGGCAACGCGTTACGCAACCAGTGTGCATCGGGTTGGTCACGCGTGTGAGACCCGTGTGCAACGCGTTGCACACGGGTGTGCACCCCGTCCGCCACTCGTGTGCAACGCGTGACACACTCATTAGAGGGGGAACAAACTTTTGACCAAAGGAGGACCCGTCTTAAGCTGAACCTGGAGGTGGTAACAAGGAGAGAAAATTTTGTTAACCTGACGAAAAATGATAATACACATGTATTTCCTAATGTCTCCTTTCTTTATGTGATTTTGTGGGAATAACATGAATACTGTTGCGATTAAATAGATCTGTTTTGTTTTATACGACCATTGCTTCTAAATCCGATGGTGTTAAGAGAATACATGGTCCTGGAACATGTTATTGCAATTGAAATGCTTTTATTGTGATCTGACATTAACCGTCTGTAGTACGACTTTCAGTGATAATATGTATGAGGTTTGGCGGCGCATTGTTTTTATTGGACCCTAATTACTTTATGATGACTTGGACTCTTTATCACAGCTCCATAGCCGTGAGGCTGGAAAAGAGCAGCATGTAATTAATGAGGGTGGGTTATATCATTGAGGATACACTTGAGGGAGAGAATACTAATTACCGTACTACAGGAAGAGACCTGTAGACGTAAGCGCGGGGTTGTGTTTTAGCTGGCCGTTTGATAATGGCCGCCAGGAGAAGTGAGCTTTGCCTGCATCATCTAAAATAAATAAGAAGATACAGCAGTGTTATTTTCACGGTCTGTTGAATAAACTCCCAGCGCAACGGTCAATGTATCTTCCTTCTACTTGATCCTTGATACATCATTTTGTCTTTCACAATATATAGTATTTCAACGTACAAAGGACACTGATCTAAAGCAATTCCGCGGGAGTAGTTGTTACCTGTGCATTACTGTATTTTCCCAGTGAGTACCCGGATGATATAGCAGAAATCTAGACTTGTTCGCGACCTGTGCTCGCCATTCGTAAGCGCATTTTAATTGAAAGTAGAAGGACGTATGGTCACACTGATCAACAAAAATGAAATACAGTTTTTGAAATGTAGGTATATTTGTGGGGAGCATCGGTAATGGTGATGCAGTTTTGATAAGTCACTTGCTTGGTAATTGTGCGATCTTCGTGTACACTATTTTGACTTGCAACACAGAGTAAATATTTCACTGAACATTGCTTATTTTACCGTGTGTATATGTTTACATGATATGTTTACATAATATGATTTCACTAAGGAAATGTATTAAAACGCCTAAATATTCAGTTTATTTTACAAATTAACTGAAAAATATGTCCATCTTTATTAATATGATAACGAATTCCAAATATTTGTTTATGTTTAATACCATCACCAAGTACAATTCTGTATTGTTTGGCTTCTTTTCTTAGCATAATTAATATATTGTGATGTGTTTAAGCTCTCTTGGTCGTCTTTATCATTTTTAGTCAGTCGGTTAAATAAATGAATGGATTATTCAGTCAATTTGTAAAATAACTGAAATATTTAGATATTTAATAAATTGCCTGAGTGAATCATATTTTACACATTGACTGTAACATATACACGCTTACAAAAGAAAATACTTGTGAAAACACCGTCTATCGCGCATCGAAAAACTTCCCAACCAAACGGAAAGGAACAAGAATGATTCTGTTCAAAGCTGCAGCGAATGAATGAAAACAAAATGCAAATATCATTATAA